CCAAATTTTCCTAAAAAAAATCATGTGATATTTTAGCCCGCATTAAGAAATTAATTGGCCGACATTAAGAAAATTTTATTTGGCTTCAGCTTTTTTTCATTTTTTAGTTCGAACAGTATAAATAATGGACTTGCGAAATTTTTCATCCCACTTGATAAATTTTAATAAAATCATCAGCTTTTTCATTTAATTCTTGATCATCCCAGCTTTCACTTTCATCATCATTTTCTTTAAAGTATCAAATTCATCAAAAATTGGAATATCTTTATTGCTTTTTTTCCCGTCTCTTTTTTGGCTAATTTTATTTGTTTTTGCCGTTTGAAGCCGTTTAAAGGTGGTGGAATTTTAAACATAGTAATTTATAGTGTATATTATTAGAAAGTGAGTATATAATTCAATAAAACAAAAAATAAAATATAACCTTGATAGTCTCTAGTCATAAATAAAAAAAATTCATTTTTTTTATTAGCAATGCACCCAATTACGTGCATTTGATTTGTTAATGTATTTATCCTATTTACGAAAATATATTAATAAAGACAATAATTAAAATCTTTACAAAGAACTACAAAATCACAAAAAATCACAACAATATCAAGAAAATTTACAATAACATAAATCAGTAAATACGTGATATTATAAATCTAAAAATAACACGTTAACTCATGAATTTTAGCTTATTATAAATGGTAATCATATTAGGTTATAAACACCAATTATTCTACACCAAAAATTTATTATTCTTATTAAAGTGGTTGAGTGGTTGCAAAATATGAAAAATTTTGACATTGGAACATTTTTATTGCGAATAAATCAATTTTGCAATCACGTGATTATACGTATATACTAGATTTATTTAGTATGATCGAAAACTGAATTTAAACAGAAAAGTTGTTTGCCCGAATGATTAGTAATTATAACAAATAAAGCAAGCGTAAATTTACTGAATAATCCGCTGAATTCAAAGGTGAAACCGATTCATTTGTTTAAAGCAAAAGATTTAAAAAAAACATATTTTTTATTTTATTTTAATAATGGACAACAATAATTAATTATCCGCATTAGTAAAATAATTATTATTTGTATATTATTGTACGGGCGTGCTTAATAATAATGTGGCACGAAGTTATGGAAAGCCGCCATGGTCAAAAGTGCGTAGCAAAATATAGCGTGTACACGCTATGTTTTGTAGCGTATACAACGTTATATTTCACGGCGGGTACCCCTGTTCTGTCTGTTAACATGCAATTTCAGGGGTAACCTGTAGCGTTTAATTGTAGCGTTTAATACGCTATATTTCATAGCATTATATACGTTATATGTTATGATGGGTACCTGTTATAAGAAACGGCGGGTACCCGTTATAAGAACTTGTGGTACCTATTATATGAAAATTATTGTAATTTTTACATTTACTTCATCAGGAAAATTTTTCAGAGAATAAATATAGACTTCATATTGATAATTATTGAAAAAAATCTGCTAGTTATTTAACGATATTGATTATTATTAAAAAATCCACACGTTAATTTTTGATAAATAACATTATGGATAATTATCAAATATTAACTTTTTGATAAACATCAATAATGATAATTATTTATTTAATGAAATTTTATTTGCAAATATTAAAATTTATATCACACATTTACGATTTTAAAGAAAAAAATCACCATATTTATTTTTATTGAAGTGTACAAATAAAAGAAACAATAACAATAAATAAAAAAGATAAGTAAATTACAATAATCAAGGAGAAAGATGCTAATAAAAAAAATGAAATAACAATGGAGTAATGGAAAGTAATAGAAGATGAAAGGGAGTAAAAAAGAGTAATGAGAAGTGATAGGAAACAAAAAGAGAAATAGGACATAATGAGAGATGAAAAGGAGTGATGGGAGACAAAAAGAAGTGATGGGAAGATGAAGAGGAATGACGGGAAACGAAAAGAAGTGATGGGAGACGAAAAGAAGCTATGGGAGACGAAAAGGAGTGATGGTAGACGAAGAGGAGTGATGGGAGACGAAAAGGAGCGATGGAAGATGAAAAGAAGTGATGGGAAGATGAAGAGGAGTAAAAATTTATTAAAATTGTAAATTTAATGAAAAATTTTCCAATAAATTTTCAATCAATTTTTTATAAAAAAAAAAGATCTCTAATGAAATTCTTTATTAAAAAAAAATTTCAAGCCAAAATTCTCGATACACTTATTAAAAAAAAACCATTTTCAATAAAATTTTCTATTAAGGTTTCTAAACAAAATTATCCATCAAAAAAATAAAAAAATTTTCAACAAACAATTCTCTAATGAAATTCTCAATCAAAAAAAATATCCCCGATTAAAGAAAAATTCAAAGATTCTTACCACCTATTAAAAAAAATTCTCAAAAGAATTCATATATCAAAAAAAAAACTCCCCTCCTATTAAAAAAAAAATCTTTATCGAAATTCTCTATCAAAAAAAAATCTCCCCTGTTAAAAAAAATTTACACTAACGAAATGATCTATCAAAAAAAAAATTCTATGCGAAATCTATTAAAGAAAATTCTTTATGAAATTCTCTATCAAAAACAATCCCCCTATTAAAAAAAAATTCTCTAATAAAATTCTCCGTCAAATAATAATTTCATCTATTAAAAAAAATTCCCAAAAGAAATTCTTTATCAAGGAAAACTCCTATTAAAAAAAAATTCTCAACGAAATTCTCCATCAAAAAAAAATTTCACTTGTTAAAAAATTTTCTAACGAAATTATCTATCAAAAAAAATCTTCCCTATTAAAAAAAATTCTTTAAAAAAATCTCAAATAATTCTCTATCAAAAAAATCTCTCCTGTTAAAAAAAATTGCTCCAACAAATTAAGTATATGTCAAAAAAAAAAAATCTTATTAAAAAAATATTCTCCAATGAAATTTCTATCAAATAAAAGTTTTTAACGAAATTATCCATCAAAAAAAAAAAACTCATTAAATGCT